GCTCGGTTAAAGGTCTTGAATTGTTTCTCATTCAGAGGTTCACTCTCAATAACTCTTCGTAACAAGAGAGTGAACGTTAACGATTAACTATCAATTCCAACAACACATAGATTATACGCTTCCGAACAAATCTATTCTAAACGAGTCTAATTCTACCAACGTCTCCCCTCTCGGTTCTACACGTTGATTATCTAGGTTAGAAAGGTGATCAATCTACTAACCCTAAGATTCACACAACCCGAATAGACAAGAACAATCAAAAGCACTCAATTATACAAACCTAATCAATCATCCCCTATCCCTAGCGAATGGATTTAGCTACTCATATGGAATTCAACATCAACATTCAAATTAACCCAAGCCATCATCATCAACAAAACTATTGAAAAAAAGAACTTACGATTAATATAAAGTACCAACGTCGAATCCAATGAACAATCCAGATCNAGAAAGGTGATCAATCTACTAACCCTATGATTCACACAACTCGAATAGACATGAACAATCAAAAGCACTCAATTATAACGAACCTAATCAATCATCCCCTATCCCTAGCGAATGGATTTAGCTACTCATAACGAATTTAACATCAACATTCAAATTAACCCAAGCCATCATCATCAACAAAGCAATTGAGAAAAATAACTTACGATTAATATAAAGAATCCAACGTCAAATCCAAGTGCATCCAAATCCAAAGCAGGAAATATGAGTTTTTCAATCTCCAAAACAAATCAAAAAAGAAAAAAAGATGAAAAGGAATGAGTTTCTCTAGAGAAAGAACGTAAAAAAACAAAGTCTGGAAGTGAATAATGAACCCTAGGATCGAAATCAGCTCTAAAAATCCCGTCCTCAAAATTCGTACTGGTTAAGTCGCGACTCGCAACATAAGTCGCGAGTCGCGAGATGGTATTCTCCTTGGTTGCGAGTCGTGACATCCTCGCGAGTCGCGCGTCGTCAAAATGTTAAACTTCTGGGGCTGGTCGCGACCCAAGACGCGAGTCGCGACTCCGTCTCGTGAACTGCACATCAAGCCTCAGTTTTTCTCGCGGGTCGCGGCATATTCGCAAGACCACTCGCGAGTCGCGAGATATTCTGGGAACAGATTCTGTCCGTTTTTCTGGTCTTCTTTTAGTCTTCTGGGCTCGGCAACGGGTATTCTCGATATCATGGTCTCGGCTCAAGCAGTTCCAACCTCGACCGGCACAACCTACCTCCTGAAAACACAAACACAGAAAAACACGAAGCAAAACACAGCAAAAAGATACAAAAATATAAACTAAAGACAAAAGCACAAAACAAAAGAAATGGACCAAATAAGCTACGAAAAACCTACAAATGGGAGAAAACAAAAAGAAAATAAACATGAAATAAAGACACAAAAATGAGACAAACACCCGTTTCGGGGTGGGTAAGTCGTTGCTTGTTTTCGGTACATTCCTTGGGGTTGGCAAGTGGTCGAAAAAAGTCCATGCCTCCGAGCTGGACGACTGCTTCTTTCGAACATACCTTAGGGTGGGCAAATGTTCAAAGACAAAATCCACTTGTTTTTGGTACACCCCGCTTCGGGGTGGGCAAGTGGTCGCTTGTTTTTGGTACATTCCTTGGGGTGGGCAAGTGGTCAAAAATAGTCCATGCCTCCGGGCTGGACGACGGCTTGTTTCGAACATTCCTTGGGGTGGACAAGTGTTCAAGGACAAAATCCACTTGTTTTTGGTACACCCCGTTTCGGGGTGGGTAAGTCGTCGCTTGTTTTCGGTACATTCCTTGGGGTGGGCAAGTGGTCAAGAAAAGTTCATGCCTTCGGGCAGAACGACTGCTCGTTTCGAACATTCCTGGGGGTGGGCAAGTGTTCGAAACAAGTACACACCTCCGGGTTGGACTACTACTTGTTTTGCGCATCCCTTGGGGTGGGCAAGTAGTCAAAACAAGTGGTCGAACAAAAACAAATTATTAGAATCCATCTGGCGCAATTCTTGAAGACTATTCGCCAGGTTGTGTGGCAAGTTGATACACTTTGTGGAATACAGCAGACACAAACACATGGTTGCAAGAGCGGTACGTGGATTCATAAGGGATAACCACTTAAGAGATCTGAGTAAAGAGGGTGGTTCACTTCAAACAAAGAGGCGATGATGCGAGAAGATACAGTGTGGTGCAGTGTTAGGCGCATACATTTCAAAGAGAAAGAAACAACATCAAGAAAGGAAAATAGAATATTTCATTCAAACAGAAAATTGTTGAGTACAAAAATTGCAGAGTACAGAAAATTGCAGAATACAGAAAGTTGCAAAAATACAAGAAAGCCTAAACTATTTAGGGAGAGCAGCAATCTGACTGGCAGCTTGGTCGGCAATAATAGTTGATGGAGCATTGGGCGCAGTAGTGGATTGACTGGGAGCAGTGGACGAGGATGGAGTAGAAGCGGACTGATCAGCAGCATTAGGATCGGCCTCATTGGAGCTCGAAGAAGTGACAGGAAGACGTAATATAGGTGCTTTGCCCGACTTTGGCAGGTCGGAAGAAGATTTCAACAAGTTGTCGTCTATCAAGACTTGCCCCACGGTGTCTGACAACCAAGGATGGTCAGTGGGTAGCGTTTCATCTCCCGTGAAGTTGGACGGCACGGCAGGGATGGCATCCCAAACCTTGTCGAGATCGAGCGCGCCCTTAAAGCCCTATTTGTTCAGTTGTCGATCAGCCTCCTTTACACTATATGTGTAAAAGTAGAGCCCCATGCCCGAAGCTTCTTTGAGGAAAGCGGTCGAGAAGACGTAATCTCTGATCAGCTGCTCCCGATATGCTTTTAAAAATGCATGGCCTACCTGCGTCTTCCAAAGGGCCTTTCGACACTACTCAGTCGCAGCAATGGCGGCAGCCTCAATTTCCTTCTTTCGGCCAGACCTCTCGAGCTCGATAGCTTGGTCCTTACCCTTTAATTCATCCTTGAACTACCGTTCATTCTTCTTAAGTTTCTTGGCCAGCTCATGGCGTGTCTCAAGAAGCTCTCGGTTTTCAACCTTGTGTCGTTTAACCTCCTCGAGGCACTTGTTCTCCTTCTCAAGAACTAGTAAAGGTGGACCAGAGCTATCTAAGGTCTCCTCAAGGAGAGGAACAACAAACACTAGGATCTGCCAAAGGAATAATAAATTAGAACAAGATAAACAATACTAAGTCAAGGATCGCAAAATTTAATGAAATATACCTGTGTTAAAGCGCGGACAGCATACTCAGCTTTGGATTTCTGGTCGACGTCCCAACAATGGGTGTCATCGATGGGAAGAAAGCCCATAAGGCGGAAAATAGCTTTCTTTGGACCGGCTGTCACCAAGGAGATGGATGGACGAGGGTCAATAGTGGTATGCGCCTCAGAGACTTTTACCTCGAGATGAGGTCGTTTTCTCGAGGGATGGGGAACCTCGAGGGTTTTCTCGAGAGGAGGAGTGACGACCACGGTTGAACGAAGCCGTTTTTGGTGTGAGGGTCTGTGGTCTTGCTCGACGGATCGGGCTGGTGGTTAGAATGTTTTGCTGGGAAAGATTGAGCTTTCTGTTTGGAAGATCCTGAGAGAACTCCAGACTTCTCAGACCGGGTGGGAGCATCCTTGGTTGACGAGGTATGCTTGTTCTTCTCAGACCCCGTCGAAGATTCCTTCTGTGCGGGTCTTTTGTCGGAGGAGTTTCTCAGTTCAGGCTTGTTCAAAAATCCCTCTGTACAAATAAAGTAAAGAAAAATCAGTCATAATGCAAGAGCAAATACTTGAAAAACAAACAATTTCTGGTCGAGTACCTCGAGGTACCCTAAACTCGTTAAGGTGAAGGTCAGCGAGAGTTTGGTCAATGCGAAGGTCAATGAGGGTTTACTCGAGCGGAGGAAGATAAGGTTTATGAGTAAGAATACCACAATGATGCAAAAGGTGATTATTTCTGAGTAGAGGAATAGAGGCGACAGGGTTTGAATTCCAGAGGGTGATACGTCGGTCGAATATGGGGTTTCAGGGAGGAATTTTGAGCTCAAAGGGGAGTTCCTTAAGCCATGGAGTAGGATCCCAAGGATAAGGGGTTTCAAGCATGATATATACAAATTTACCCTTCCACTTGGGAACGTTGGAGGGACGGTCGGATATGAAATGGGCATTGTTCCTACTTTTTAGGTATAGTCCACCAGCCTGCTTCGAGACTAAGTAGTAATAAAAGAAAATTCCTAGGTCTACTCGACCTAGGCATACAATCGAAAGAATGACAAAGGTAGTCAGAATTCTAAAGGCATTTGGAGGAAGCTGGTTTAGGGTGAGGCCATATAAACTACATAGCTCGATCAGAGCATTACAGATAGGGAAACGAAGGCCTAGGGTCGAATTGGGTTTGAAAAAAGGTATACAAGCCCTCAGGAGGATGGTCATATGTGTCATCGTCTCTAGGTCTATAAATAGCCCTAGAAAAACCAACTAGATCGAGATCTAGCTAGTTGATGTGGTTAGAGCGAGATGGAGGGTTTGTGGAACGACGTTGTGTTTTTGAGCGGCAGGTAAAAGGATTGGATTTCTTGCTCGAGGAAGATGGCAGAATGGTTGAGGAGGCGAAGGAGCGCCAGGAGCCTTAGAAGTCTTTGGTGGAGAAGAAGGGGCTGCGAGCCCTTCTTCACCCTCCTCATTGCTCTCTTTGATCCCTCAGTCTCACCAAGCATCTAGAATTCCTTGTAAGTATTCATTTCTAATTTCTTCCTGCTGGAGTCTAAAGAAGTCCAAACGCTGCCATTCTAATTTGACATACATATCCACTGCATACTGTTGAAAAAGTCTACCAGATCTTAGCAAAAATGATTTATCATTAACTCTAATTTGCAGTTTATATGAATAGTAGACTCTAACATACACAAATTTCTCCTCATCCGGTGATATAGACCCAGCTGTAAAGTTACAAAAAAATGCTAAACATGAGCTATTAGATTGGTTTAAAAAAAAAAAATATGATAATTAAAGTGATGGAAACCCACCCACCTGAATGCTCCATATCAAGCATTTCTTCGAAATTGTTTGCTAAATCGGGTCTCAAAATAAACTGCTCAGGTAAAGTAGAGTTGTTTCTGCTTATGTTCCTTATTGGGACTCTTTTCTTAATACCTTAATGCCAACCCACCTCTCCCAATGGAAAAGGGATTGGATATTGCAATGGGTCATAGAAACCAAAGTAATAACTTATTTGATGTGAATGGCCACTATGTGAATGAACAATTATATCCCTGGTGCCTAATTCTCCATTATCTTCTCCCTCAACCCATAATGCAGCCACTTGAGATACTTGTGGTTGATTAAAAACTCTTTGATCAACATTAGGCAGTGTTTCCAAAACTATTTCATATGTTTCTAAATTAGGCATATCTTTGAGCCTCTTTAAAAACTTTTCATATGGATTTTGTTGTAGCACTATTAAAATTTTTGTGACTAATGATTCAGTCATGCGTGGGTATTCTTCTAATCTTTTGTTAACTTCATCATCAGTATCATGAAAATATAGCTGCAAGTTTTTAAACTCTTGACAAATTCCCTATAAAATGATACAATTGTCCTCGAATCCTAAATGTGTAAATGCCTTGATTACATTTTTCTAAATCTTTGTCACAATGAAACCCCATTGAAGTGAATGAAAAATGATTATTTATGGTTCGAATACAAGTCCTAAACAACTTCGCCTCATTAGATGAAGATGTGAAGAGCTCTTTTAATATAGGAGGAGCATCATTTGAAGCTAACAAAACATCTCCATTGAGACAACATAAACTATATGTCTCATATTGAATTTTTTTCGCAGAACAATGTGGACAATCATGCACCGATGACAAAACGAATGGAATTAAAGGGATAGATGTCAATTTATATTTGCCATCTCCGAAACTTGTAGTTTGATTATTTTTTTTTCCTTTTCTATCTATTCACGGTGACTATTCGCTCAGTGAAAATGTTTCTGTTTTCTGCAGCATAACTTGTTTCAGCAAGATGGTCATACAAATTCGACACAACAAATGGATTAATATTTTCAAGTCTAGAATGTTGGGTAACTGCACTTGCCTGCGTTTGAAGCATAGGAACATAAGGTTGAGTATCCAATTGTTTCTTTTTCTTGATTTTCCATTTTTCTAATGTTGCATGCCTACTCAATTCCCTACCAACATCAACAACTTCACTAACAATAGTTTCTGTAGGTCTCTGATAATTTGACTCATCATGAACATTGACAAATTCGTTAACAACAGGATCCTGGAAATTATTTATTTCCATCTGCACCGCTTCAACAACACTAACTGAACTTTTGTTTTGAAGTTTTTTAAGTTTCCATCTTTTAATGGTCTCTTGTCTGTAAATTGTTTTAGCAAGAGGATCCCCACCAGTCGGTAGAGGTTCCTCTACATTTTTTCTTTTTCTTCTCATGGATATGACAGACATGGAGAAAAGNTGATGCTAGTAGTTGTGATTATGTACATAAAAAATAGCATGAAAACAATAAATACATTACAAATGCATAGGAAAGTGGATAGAGCACAGAAGAATATACATGTGACACGAAAAACACACGCATTAAATACCATATTTACCTTTTTTAATTGTTGTAGGCCAAGAAACTGTACCCAAAAAAAAGATAAGGAGGAAAGCGCAATAGTTTAAAAGAAAAGTCAACAACTATCTATTTCGAGAACCATCCAACATTGACCTAACCGTTAATGGAATTAAACAAAATATATTTGAGTACAAACAAATTATGAGGTGGAAAAAAATGCCAAAAAATAGAAGCAACTGATCAACAATAAGACCGAACATTTAAGAACCAGACTGGTATGTACATTAATGAATGAAAGCATAAATAAAATTGTCCATTCCAGTTAAATCACGCAGTATGTATAAAAATAAAAGCAAGCAAGTAGGATGAGAGAACATGAGCACAAGAAAAGAAACATGTAACAAAAATTAACAACACACAAAGGAAGCAGTCATGTTATGAGTTTCCAAGGAAAATAAGCAACAATAAAATAAAGGACAAAATGAAAGCATGAACACTACGAAGTGAAAAAAAAAAGAAAAAAAAAAATAAAAAACCGTAAGAAGCTAAAGCGCATGAATCCACTAGAGAGGCAAGAATACAATCACCTGAAAGCACAAGAAATATTTCACATGGAATAAACTTTCTACTCCTAACCAAAAACAGCAAAAAACATCTGCGAGTTAACTAAACAAAGCAAACATAGAGATTGAGAAAGAAGAAGATACGTACTGTTGTGGATAAACACAAAAAAGAGCAAAAAGTGTGGTCACAATTTATATACATTGCAAATTACGTATTCCCAATTAATTATATAATTTTACCAAAATGAGCCTGAAATGAAGAAAAATAAATTGTATTCATTTGGTATAATTTTACGCAGATAATCATAAACAATACATGAAAATGTAACTCTAGATAAAATAAGCAGGAGAAAATGATTGAACCTAATCAGCTAATGAAAAGCAAAAACATAGGATTTGACCTTTTAGCCGTACACGAACCAATGAAAGCTGTTAAAAAAAAGAGTGTTAATATTCACCGCACCCATTTTTACTATTTACCGCACCCTTAAAATACTGTTTTGCCCTTATTAAAAAATAATAATAAAAAATTTAATTTTTAAATTTTTTTTTTAAATGTGGCCAAAAAATATATTACCTTATAAATTGATAAATGTGGCCAATCATATGAATGTTATAACACAAAATTCGAAAAAAAAAAATCATAAAATTCGAACAAAATTCAAAAAAAAAAAAAAA